TGTGTTGTGGTGTTGAGGCACAGTCGAAGGTCGAAGAGAAGCCTGTGCAGTCAAAGGATTTGGACTTTGGAACCCTAATTAGCGAAGAAGACAGGGTCCAGACTACTTTGGGTCAACCCAATCAAGTTTGGTCCTGATACAACCCAAAGTCCAACCTTCAAGCCCATTGTTCTTAAATTATTTTAAATCCAACCCAAACCCAAGACCTGGTCCAGCCCACCGTCCAACTTAGGCCGGTTCGGTTTAGTCCGGTTCAGAGGTCTAGGAGCTCAAGTCGACCCGGTTCACAGGTCCAAAGCGCTTAACTGGTCCGGTTCTGTCTTCCAGCCCTGTTTTCCAGTCCGGTTCAGGATTCCAGCAGCCTTAACAGGCACGGTTCAGTGGTTTAGGTCAGTTTTCAAACCGGTTCAATATTCCAGCGGCCTTAACAGGCCCGGTTCAGCTGTCCAGCATCCTCTTTTCTTCTGGTTCAGCATTGCAGCACTTCTTGTTTGCTATTTGCTGCACTGTTATGGAACCCAAGCAAGACACTGGATTGGTTACTATTACTCAAGAAGAGTATGCACAGTTCCTATCCCAGCAACAGGCTGTTCCATCTTCCTCCACTGCTACTTTTGCACAGTCAGGTATTGCTTCCACTTGTATATTGTTCTCCAATCGCAATCCCGGGATCATAGACTCTGGTGCTTTTGATCACATGACTGGTGCATCTGATATTTTTTCTACTTATTAGTTTCCTCTTTCCACACGTAGTGTTACTCTTGCTAATGACACTTGTTCTAAAGTTTCAGGTTTGAGGACTACTAACTTGAGTCCTGATATGCCCCTATTTTTCGTATTATTTGTTCCTCAGTTTTCTTGTAATTTACTTTTCATTAGCAAGATTACCCGTTCTCTCAATTGTTCTATAACCTTTTATCCTTCTTATTGTGTCTTTCAGGATCTTAAGACGAAGAGGGAAGATTGGTACGGGGCATGAAGCTGGTGGTCTATATTACTTTGATTTTGATTCACCTACTCGGGCTTTACAGACCTCGTTGTCTCCTTTTCAGTGGCATTGTCGTCTTCGACATCCCTCTCTCCAGAATCTGAAACGCCAAGTTCCCAGTTTTAGTTCTGTGCCGTTTTTGTCTTGTGAAGCTTGTCAACTTAGTAAGCATCATCGTGTGTCATTTCAGTCTCGAGTCAATAATCGTGTGTCTAGTTTATTTGAGTTGGTACATTCTGATGTATGAGGTCCAATAAAGAATATTTTATCTAATAAATATCCTTATTTTGTGTCATTTGTGGATGACTATTCTCGTGTGACTTGGTTGTTTTTAATGAAAGTTCGGTCTGAATTATTCTCTATATTTGAGACCTTTCGTAAGGAAATAAAAACTCAGTATTGTTGTCGTATCCATATTTTATGTTCTGATAATGCTCGGGAATATAAATCTGATCCTTTTTCAGCTTATCTTAATAAAGTTGACATCATCCATCAGATTTTCTGTGCTTACAGATCTCCACAGAACGGCGTTGCTGAATGCAAGAACCATCATTTGTTGGAAGTCACCCGTACCTTATTATTCCAGATGAATATTCCCTGATATTTTTGGAGTGATGCTATTTTTACTACTTGTCACCTTTTTAATCGTATGCCATTCTCTGTGTTAAATGGGCAAAGTTCATATTCTGTCCTTTTTCTTGGTAAGCCCTTATTTTTCCTGACTCCTAAGGTTTTTTGATGTGTTTGTTATATTCATAATTTGGGTCCTAGATTTGACAAACTTGACCTTCGAGCTACCAAATGTGTATTTCTTGGTTACTCTCGCACGCAGAAGGGATATCGTTGCTACATTCCTTCTCTGCACCGATACTTTACTAGTGTCGATGTCACGTTTGAAGAATCTGTTCCATATTTTCCAGCACCTTCTCAGTCTTTGGATTTAGATTTTGGGTCATTTCCTGTACCACCTTCTCTTTCCTCATCTTCAGATATTCCGCTGCCCACTGTGTTACCATCGACTTTACCTCTCCGTGTCTACTCTCGCCGTCCTCGCCCATCGACTGAGGTGCCCGTACCATCTTCCTTGTTGCCTTCTGATCCTGGTACATTAGGTAATTTAGACCCTTTACCTATTGCTCTTCTCAAAGGTATTCGTTCGTATGTTACTAATCATCCAATTTCTCATTTTGTTTCATATGATGCCTTGTCTCCTGTCTTCTCTTGTTTTACTTTCCAATTATCTGCTATATCTATTCCTCAGCATGTACATGATGCATTATCTGATCCGGGTTGGAGGAAAGCTATAGAGGAGGAGATGGATGTCTTACATCATAATGGGACTTGGGCTCTCGTTCCTTTACCTCCTGGTAAACGAACTGTTGGCTGTCGTTGGGTGTATACTGTTAAATTTCATCTAGATGGTTTTGTGGAGCGTCTCAAAGCCCGACTTGTTGCAAAGGGCTTTACTCAGACTTATGGTGTTGATTATGAGGAGACTTTTTCTCCTGTTGCCAAAATTTCCTCTGTTCGTATCTTGATTTCTTTGGCTGCTAATCTTGATTGGCCTTGTTTCAGTTAGACGTCAATAATGCCTTCTTAAATGGTGACTTGGTTGAAGAGGTATACATGGAGCAGCCACCTGGGTTTACTACTCAGGGGGAGTATGGTAAGAGTGTATGTCGGTTAAATAAATCTTTGTATGGTTTGAAGCAGTCACTGAGGGCATGGTTTGGTAAGTTTTTAGATGCAATTTTAGAGTTTGGTCTTCTTCGATTTCAGACAGATCATTCTGTGTTTCATAGACAGACAGATGCTGGATATGTCCTATTGGTAGTCTATGTAGATGATATTGTGATTACTGGAAATGATTCTAAGGGGATTGCCAAGTTAAAAATATTCTTACAGGATCGATTTCATACTAAGGATTTGGAAAAATTCAGGTATTTCTTGGGTATTTAAGTGGCTCGATCTAAACAGGGTATTTGTTTATCCCAGATGAAATATATACTTGACATGTTTGAGTAAACAGGTTTGCTTGGTGGCAGACCTATTGATGTTCCTATGGATCCAAATCAGAAATTTTTGATGGATGATGGTGCACTGTTTGGGAATCCAGGTCGATATCGCAGATTAGTTGGGAAGCTCAATTATCTCACTATTACTCGAACGGATGTTTCTTATGCAGTCCGTATAGTAAGTCAGTTCATGGGGTGTCCTAGAGTACCACATTGGGAGACAGTTACTCGTATTCTGCGATATCTCAAATGTGCTCCTAGACTTGGACTATTATATCGAGCTAGTGTACATCTTAGAGTGAAAGGTTTCTCAGATGCTGATTGGGCTGTCTCTCCTTCTGATCGGAGATCAACCACTGTTTATTGTATTTTCTTAGGAGGTAACGTTGTTTCATGGAAAAGGAAGAAACAATCCGTGGTAGCGAGATCCAGTGCTGAGGCTAAGTATAGGGCAATAGCGCATACGACGAGTGAGTTGACTTGACTACTATACTTCCTCCAGGAAATTGGGTTTCTAGTTCAACTTCCTTTACATTTGTTCTGTGACAACCAGATAGCTATCCATATCGCTGTAAATCCTGTGTTTCACGAGAGAACCAAGCATATTGAGGTTGATTGTCACTTTATTCGGGACAAGATAGTAGCTGGGGAGATTATAACTCCATTTGTGCAATCTGAATATCAGCTTACAAATATGTTTACCAAAGCATTGAGTCGTACACGTCTTACAACTATTTGTTCAAAGCTTGAATAATATGATATATATAGTCCAACTTGAGGGGGACTGTTAAGAATAGTAAGGTAGTATGTGTAAATTGTTAATAGTAAGAGGGTGTATGTGTAATTCTTATTATTGTAGGTTAACTATAAATACAAGTGATGTATGAGAGTTAGGTTAAGTTTTTAACCTCTCTTTTTTTCTCTAATATTGTGTTATGTTAATTCTCTCAACTTAACACAGGGCATACAATCTGACTTGAATATTTTTCTTCTTTGTTGTTGTAATCTTATCCAACTCTGCAAGAAAAAATTATATATCCTGCCCTCAAAAAAAAAAGCTTATATACACACATCTTTTGTAAGCCTTGATTATTACTCCAGCACGATGAAAATAGGTTCTTCCTTGTTTATGAATGCAGTGGTGTCACCATCATCCTCACTTGCAATGCAGAGCTCCCCATCAAGGCATCCATCGCCAGCCTTATTCTTTTCTCTTGGAGCAATAGTTATGCTATTGATATTGCTGATTCTCATTTATTTCTTCTGTAAAATTTTCAAACCAGCAGAGCTGAAAAAGTTGGTTGTCCATACAAAGTAAGGACCAAGGTTGTAAATTTTATGTTGTGTAAAAGTTAAGAAATAGTTGGTTTGATGAGACAAACTATGAAAAACTTCTCACTTCATTGCAGCAACAAAAGATGTTTGCAGTGGAAATCTTCGTACAATAAGCTATTTTAACTTCCAGACATTAAAGAAGGCAACTAATAATTTCCACCAGAGTAATCTGCTTGGAATAGGTGGATTTGGGCCTGTCTATCTGGTAATGCTGAATCTGTTTGTTCTTTTTTTTAAGTTTGTACTTCAGAGGTAATTCAAAGATGAGTATGAGCACTCTCTGAGGACTGTGACATATGCACACATAGCTTTGTAATAGAAGATCGAATAAATTAATTAATGGAACTCATCATAAGTATCCATATCACAAGATTTGGATAAATAGGTTAATTTCAACCATTTGCTTGATTTCTCTACATGAGATGTTATGAACTGTCAATCTTTAGTTGGGTGTGGTTCATGAACCAATCTGTTTATTCATATTATGCCTATTAAGATGGCCTAATCATATTGTAAATTGTGTTTGGTAGGGAAAGTTAAAAGATGGGAGGTTGGTTGCTGTGAAGAAACTGTCTCTTGACAAATCCCAGCAAGGAGAGCTGGAATTCCTTGCAGAAGTGAGGATGTTAACAAGTATACAGCACAGGAACCTGGTCAGCCTTCTTGGATGTTGCTCAGATGGAGCTCAAAGGGTACTTGTGTATGAATACATGAAGAACAGAAGTTTGGACCTAATAGTATATGGTATGCTTTTGTTATATATATATATTTCATGGTCTGTCTACAGTATAAACAATTTATCTGATACAAAGTCGCTACTTGGTTCTAGGGTAGAACTAATTTTAATTCTAAAAACGAAAATTAGTCTTGCTTGAAGTGTAGGAAGTTCTATATTTCATGCTAGTACCAATTATTGCGAAAGACTACATATCCCACATGGGCAATGTCAGACTTGACAGTAGATTTAGGGTCATCCAAGGTTGGGTTATATGGTTGACAGGACTGCATCCATTGGCAATTGGTTTTGGGTTGGTTGTCTTTAACCATGGCATCAAAGTTGAGCCTTGGGTGGTCAGTTTACCAAGGCTTTCACCCATTTGAGTTTTTCATTTTATATGGTTGAGCGGCTCCTCCATCCTTGGGCAATTGGTTTTGGTTTAAATGTTTCAATTCTGACCTCTAAATCTCAGTTGTCCAATCTATATTATTGCTTTCTACTAAAGATAGTACAATAACAATGAAAGCATAATATGAAGTATTGAATATCTAAAGCTTTAGTGTGACCTGGATATTCAAAGGCTTTAGTGTGACCTGAATATCTGCTTTGACTATTTTGTGACACAGGAAAAAGTAATCAGTTCCTGAACTGGAACATTCGGTTCCAAATAATTCTGGCCATTGCTTGAGGATTGCAATACCTGCATGAGGATTCACATTTCAGAATTGTTCACAGAGACATCAAAGCTAGCAACATTCTTCTGGACGATAAACTTCAACCAAGAATTGGAGATTTTGGCCTCGCTAGGTTCTTCCCTGAAGATCAAGCTTATCTCAGCGCAAAATTTGCTGGAACCTTGTAAGTATTTCCAATAATAGATATTCAAGAATGCATTTTCCTACAGTAATTTCCCATGGATATCTTTAACACTGATTTTGATGGCAATTGGAAGATAAATGACTTATAGAGAATTAGCCAAGCATAGGAAAGTACAAGAAGTTGGGTACTAATAATGCAACTTAAAAGAAATTCCTAGGTAAAATCTAATGCAGGAGCCAGAAGGAGAAGATTTGCTCTTAGACTTGAATTTGCATTCTCATGTTAGGTAGCCGGATCTTTTTAACGCGTCATGTTATTGCCCCTTTTATAAGACAAAGAATACAATCAGTTCTTAGTCCTTTGAAGCCAGCCTCTAGACTTGTTGAACATTAATCGTCCCCTATAATTTTTTGGAAATTTTGTAGAATTTACACTTGGCAGCTATACATGAACAAAAAAAGTTTGTATATGTTCATACTGCCACCATCATGACAATCTCCATCATCAAAATGGCACCAATTACATCACCACCGGATCATAACCATCCTTTGGACAAACTAGAGATGCATCGTCTGGGGTATTACACAAACACAAACATGATCTTCATCCATGCCACCGCAACAATGTGCACCAACTTGAATATCCTTTTCATTGTTGCTAATACCTCGTGGCTGTTGTCACCAGTATCAACTATTTAGTTGAGAGACTAGGAAGAGGGGTTATGTCTTACTCCCCTTTTATTGTTAGGAAATTCAAGATCCTTTTTAAGCCAGTCTAGAAGTATCATGCATGCTGAAATGCCAAAAATTGATGTATATGTGAATTGGTCCTATTCCTAAATTGAACTCAAAATGAAATCGTACTTTCTAATTGCCACCAAACTCGGGCCTAAGCCTCTGGTTTGTTGGCTTCTGGTCTATTGATCTTGCTACCATGATCTAGTCCCCAATCAATACAAAACATGATCAATTTTTCAAATCGAATCAGATGAAACCTCAGAGTCAAGGTATCTCAGATCAGATAGAGTGGAAATTAATAATATGTTGTGTACATCTCGTACCTCAAAGTTTAACCAATTTGATATCCTTTAGTTTTGACATAGAAATCTCAGAGTGAAAACCCCTGAGCCTCTCTCTCTCTCTCTCAAGTTTAAGGGTTGAAGAATGGGAAGAAAATAAGTGACGACGTAAAAAATGATGTTAGAGGCCTGTTTATAGTGTAAATCACACGAAGGAGGCTAAGACAGTGAAAAAAACTTAACAGTGAAGGCCCAGCTTGTTGACCGGTTCAATGGACCAGTTAAGAAGGCTGCCCATTTGCTCTTTTGCCCAGGAAACTCATCCAGCTGACCAGATGTGTGATCTGATCGGTCAGATCAACCCTCTGTCCATCCCAATCTATTTTCATTATTTCAAATCCGATTTTTTGTCAAAAATTCATAACTAAATCTCTAACCATCGGAATTCAAGTTTCATCATAACCAAAAACCCAACTCGACTCTAAATGAGATTCCTACTTGGATCAAACTACGCTAGTCTTATCAACCTCAAAATTCACCACTATCTTGTATTAAATTTCAATTCGTATTAATTTGATCTGAGAAGGAATCTCGTTTGGATTCGAGTTGAGTTTTGGGTTTCACCACTCTGTAGAATGGAGGTAACATTTACTCGTGTTTGGAAATATTGTTATGAACATAATTTTTCACAAGCAGTCACTTCAAGGTCATATTTAGGCAATTTTTTTAATAAGAACCAAAACAATTTTATACACAAGAAGGTAATACACAAGGGAAATGATAGGTGAACAAAACAAAGTTTAAACTGCCTGTCATTTGATCATAAGGTCATCTGTCTAATTACCTTTTCTCTTTCCTTCTTTTTGCACGGTCTAATTAATATGCCATTAGAGGAGAATTGTCCGAAAAGGCTGATATATATAGTTTTGGCCTTCTGGTGGTTGAAATTATTAGCTGCAGAAAAAATACAGATCTTACTTTGCCATCGGAAATGCAATACCTCCCTGAATATGTGGGCCTTTCACTTTTTGAGCATTTTTTTTAATGATATTTCTGTTTTAGCTTGTTGATAATGAAGTGAAAATGTCAATAATTTTTAAATTATTATTTGTAATATGTTTTAGACCTGGAAGCTCTATGAGAGGTCAAATGTGATTGATCTAGTGGATCCAAAAAATGCGGGAGGATGGGTTTGTGGAGAAAGATGTTTTGCAAGTAATCCATGTTACCTTCTTATGCATTCAGCCTCATGCAAATTTGAGACCACCCATGTCAGAGATTGTAGCGATGTTAACATGCAAAGTCGAAGTGGTGAGAACACCTATTAAACCAGCCTTCTTTGATAGAAGGTGCAAGAAGGATGAGAAGGTTTCTTGGGATACTATCTCAGAGGTTCTCCCATCCCCTATGCAGAGTGAGTCACATTCCTCGCCTTAATCTCGAAACTAAGGTTGGCACTTCCACACAACATACTTCTATACAAAACCATACAATATAATTTATGCTATGATTGTTAGATCCGTTTTGCAAAATTTGCAGAAATAGTTCAGCTTTGATCCCTTTTTTCTCTTGGCTAAGTAGTTTTGTCTATTATTTCTTGTACATACAGATATCTACTAAGAGATGTAGCGATGTAGAGTTGCAGGATTGTGGTATAGGATCATAGGATTGTTGTTTCTTAGAAAAATAGCCAGATAGGAGTTTAGTTTGTCATGTTTGGGAGATAAGAGTCTGCAGTTGGGGCTGCTATTAGGTTCTTTAAGCAATGTCGTATTGTTGTTGTTGTTGCTGCTACTTCTATTGGTATTGCTATATTCTCACAGTTATTAAATGGACCATGTGCATGCAGTCTCAAACTAGGTTATTTTGCAAGTTATTTTGAAAGTGGCAAGCTGCAGATGAAAAGATAGGAATTCTTATAAAATACATTTTTTCTGTCTGCATTATCCGTTAATTGTATTATTCGTGTCTAAATCTTATTTTGATTAATTTATCATTCGTGGGAATTGATCGTGTCATTTTTAAATTTTATGTCGAGTCTAATTCTTGTCAGATTCGTATCGAGTTCGTATGAACAGGTAAAATTGATACCCCTAATGTTGTCCAGTTACTCACTCTGCCGCATCCTGGCTGTGTCTGTTCTCTACTTTTAGAGACAGAGAGAGAGCCTTTTTTTTTTTTTTTTAAAAGAGAAAGTAGGTTGAATTCAATGCAGACCTGCACGTTCAACAGCTATTGAATTTTCTCAGCTTTCCCCTGACAAAATTCAATGCCGTTAATCTGAATCAGGAAACGAATTGCATCCACCCTCGTAACGGATGACAAACCAATATTTTTCTATGGAAAATACTATGCATACAAAAAGTTTTATGAAAAAGAATTTTTACCAAATGCGTTAGTAGTTCTATATCACTTTTGGACCTACCAAATATTGATCAAATAGTTTTTGATTAGATATAAAGTTGTCACCTTATTTGATAAAAATACTTTTTGGTAAATATTTTGCTAAGCATGGTATTACCTTTTTTTTTTTTTTTTTTTTTTTTTTCTATTATTAAAGACCCACAACAAATTTGTTCATATCTCCTCATAATTTATTCTTTATTGTATTTTTGAAAAAGAAAGGAACGGAACTAAAATTTTATTTATAGAATGATAAACAATAAAATACACAAAACATTTATTTAAAGGTGTTATTTAACAAGTTATTACTAGTGAATAAAGAATTAGAAAGATGGAAAGTTAGAGAAATAAATAAAACATCATGTTTGATAAAAAAAAAATATGAAAGATGAAAAAGTGGATGAATTAGTTTTCTTTCTAATTTACCAAAATCAATCTTTCTAAAATTAAGAGGAAAAGTGGAGAAAAGTTAATTATGTGTGTTGAAATGTATATTATTTACCTATATATTCTTTAATATATGCATATATCATATTTATATATATATATATATATATATATATATATATATATATATAATAATAATAATAAAACATGCATCTATATTTTTTTTATTTTTCCACTTTGTCATCTTACTAAACACAAAAAAAAAATCAATAATTTCTACTTAATTTCCATCCTTCCTATCAAACACAAATGAGATAAAGAAAGATTACTCCCTTAAAAGATAGAAGGCGTGTCATTCCAACTTTTCATCTTTCCATTCACTTAACCAAACATACTATAAATGTAATACTATCACAAATTATAATTTTACACAATACCATAATAAATTTAAATTAGTAGCCGATGTTTTGTTTTTGATATAAACAACATTTATATATAATTTGATTTTTTAGCAATTCACAAGTTTTTTTTTTCCCTTTAGTTGGTAGCTCATCTAAACAAGTGTCTTCTGTTAAGAGTAGCACTCATCGATGCGATTGCATTTTTCATTTGGTTATTTAATATCAAGTTATTACTTTTTTCTATATACATTTAGTAAAATATTTATATATCTTCCTTTTTGAAAACCTAAGGGAGAACAATAGAAATTTGTAAACATCTATAGAGGGTTATAGGGATTTTTCAAAAAGAAAGCATATGGTAAAGGATGCATTAGACTCCCGCATGAGAATAACCCACAAAGATGAAAACTATTCACACCAGTTTCTTATGATCCTAACTTTTTTTTAAAAGAAAGGTGAAAGTATAGAAAGTTAGAAAGATAAAAAAAAAAAAAAGAAAAATAAGGTAATAGTATTAGAGGGTTACTATTTTTCTCAAGAAATATTACGGATATCAAATTCGTCGATCAAATCTACTAGTATTTTGTTGTAAAAGGATTTAATTATTAGGAGGGTCAATGCCAATCATACAACAATAATAACTTGACCAGAAAATTTGACAGAAATAACATTGTTATTTTTTAGAATCTTAAATCATTTGAACCATGATTACAGTGATCAGAAGCAACATATGACTCGAAGCCCGATAAACACGATACAGTCCTTAGCAAAACAAAAAAAAAGTTGGAAAAACAAGCATCATCAGTAAGGATTTGAAAAAAAAAATATAAAAACATCTTGAGATTTCCCCACATTACAGCTGCATAGAGAGCAACACTCTTAACATGCAGTTAGACTCATTCTTGCTAACCTTCCATAGCTCTCTTGAGCCTTGAGTCTTCCCTTATCTGTTGTGTAAGGGATTTGGTCCGGTCGGAACAACTCGCTTATAATCAGTAATGTTCTTCCTCTCAGCGTTGCAGAGGCACCTTGAGAAATGGAGTTTCTTTGAACAATTACATCTGTCTATGCCCACTACGGACGCATATGAGTCATTATTATGCTTCTTGGAACCATTTACAGGAGTAAGAAAGATCTCTCTAGCTTCTGCATTGGACCCAATGCTAGTAAGAATTTGATGAACAAGCACAAGCAAAATCACTGCTTTTCTCATTGCGGCTTGCAACCTTGCACCACACTAGAGTGAAGTTTTGGAAGATATCCAAAAATATACTAGATAACACAGACAAAAGAGTGACCCACGAGAGAAGATATACTTGAAAAGCGACTATAGAGCACATATATGCAGGGGGAGAGAGAGAGAGGCAAAAAGAATGCGATGGGTGTAATGTAACCTGTAAGGAAAAGAAAGAAACAGGCATTCGAGGTTTATAGATATTTAATAAGGCACCTGGGATACACAGTAGAGAATTTGATACATCAACATCTCTGAAAAGAAGCCTCAATGTTCAACAAACGCCATTAATTGCTTTCAGTTCCATTGGATAGATAAGAAAACAAAACAGAAGTCAAGTTAAAGAGAAGAACCCCACATTCTACACCCGAGCTACCCCCTCTCTCTCTCTGACAATCCTCTTAAATTCGAGTAAATATTGGCGTAACCATCCACTAAGAAAAGAGCAAAAAAAATAAAATAAGATCTACTTCTTGTCGTGGAGATAATTATATATTATTGGGTGGTCATAAGTGTTAGTAGGGTCCATTTATTGGCTTGTTTACCTACTAGTAAACAATTACACCATGTGATATTATTGACATAGTGTATAGTTAAGACAAATGAGGAGATCGTACGATGCGATCGTTTGGAATCAATTAGTAGAACAATTCCATTGCGAGATTCAAAAATGGTGAGACAATGGTTGGTCTAGACGTGCTATCAAGGTTGATTTGTAGAAAGTGATGACATTGTGAAGTGATATTTTTTCGCTTGAAGCTTTAGAAGGATTGAACTTCCTAGCCACTGTCAGGAAGTGGATTTAACCTTGCATAACTTCCCCTAGATTTTCCATACTATAAATGGTGAAATCGAGGGAGTTCTTTTTAATTAAGATTAAAATGAATAGCTTTATGGAAGGTTTCAGAACTGAAAAGTGCACGTGTTAATGTTGTGTAGGTGGAAAGAACAATATTATTTAAATTTAATTTTTAAACCTAATTTATTGTCATTGAATTGACGGTGACCCCAATATTTATTGGGACCCTCTTTCAATTCAATAATTGTGATGCATTGAATCAACAAATTAGATCCAAATAATATTTTCGGATGACCAACCAGCTGAAAAACGTTAGGTAGCTAGATTAGTGCGCAATGAATTTCTTTGGTAGGGGTCGCTTCTTCGAGTTTGGCATATCCTTGTGACCTCCTTCTTACTCAATTGGAACTATAAAAGAAATGTACAGGACTCTAGCTAGGCTCCTCAAAGATGCATGCTAAGGTAAGTGACCTAATTGATAACCCATTAAACCAATGAAAGTGGCCAAATGTCACATCCCCTAATCTGTATGCCATTGCTGATGATACTAATTCCATCTTATTCTACAAATCAAACCATGGAAGGCATAAATATTAAAATATTTATTATTAAACTTATTCTCCCTACGTACACCCATATCCTATGTGTTAGATTTTGCATGTCACCGAGATCGCATTATATCGTATTCCTCTCTCATATCTAGATACATTTCTTAGGAATCAAGTCTATGAACCAAGGTATTTTGCATTAATCATTTTGTCATTTTGTTTTTAACAAATAACTTGTGTCTCACTGCAGAATTTAGTAACGGACGGTCAATGTTAACTGTTAGCTGAGCGAGTCAACCTTTAATGGAACTTATCACTTGGAAGGGTATAAGTTCTTTACTGATTGGGCCGTTCGTGGAACATGCTTTAAAATCTTGGGGCTCCTTAATAAATATCCATATATAATCACTGCTTAGACATAATTCTCTCAGTGTTGAAAGTTATTTATTCTTTGTAACTCTCTGGTTTGTGTGGACGTTAACAAGGATTGCGGGTGTTGTCACGTAAGGGTGTTGATCAGTAACCAAACCATTCGCATCCTGAAATTGATTGTAATAGTATATAGTATAGATAGAGATGTACGAACCTGAATGATAAAAAATGAGTCACATCTATCTCAAGCTGCATGGATCATTTAACGGCCTTTGACTAGTGATCCACTAGGAGAAGTTTGCTTAGTAAGATAGGTTGTCTTAGAGTCCGTAACATGGATCATTTCAAATCTGACTTTTTTTTAACATTAAATCATATTTATTGAATTTGAGCGCGTTGAATAATTATCCTTGTACGAATTTGAGTACGAACTCAAATAACAAAATTAGGCATACGGAAATATGCCCTTTTTTTTTTATTTAACACATTGGGCTGCTTCAAAATTATATATATTTTTATGCAATAACTAGAGGTTAGACTTAAAATGATGGCAAGTGATCGTTCATCGAAATGATATATTACTAGTTTAAGTCAAGAAATGAATTTCTCTAAAATGAGTGAAGGTTACTCATTACTTCTCGCATGTCTAACTATGGACGGTCTTTTGTATTGGATATGTATTGTTTTAAGTTTAATAACGGTTGTGGGTTTTCTTATTTTTGTGGGGGTGTGGTTCAAGTTTTTGATGAACTCATTTTTGTTCTACACCGATACATAGTGTGTGATTTATTATCGAGTTCAAAAAAAAAAAAAAAAAAAGGCCTAAAGAAGAGGATTCAGATCTGAAAATTTTGTAGTGTCTGATCAAATTCCTTTAATGTTGGGGAATCTGTGAAGTCAAACATTGCAAGGTAATGTAGAAGTTATCGGTTTTTTTTCAAAAAAGTCAAAATTCTAACGCACGCCTTAACTCCTCCATATTATTATGCTTTTGTTGTCACTTGTACAATAACTTGGTCACATCACTCACACAAACTCTATAAAATCCTCCCCCCCAAAGCTTATGTACTGCAAATTATATTGATCATATTCTCCTCTCTCTCTAGAACACACACAACCATGGAAGATGGAGAATCATGCAACACAGGACTTGGACTAGGAATCGGGATGGGTGAGTTCCGGCCTAAAAGGAAACATGAGCAAAGAAAGCGTGTGGTTTGTTTTGATCTCTCCTTTCCGCCGCTTAATCCGAACGAGGAAGCCATTGATGCAGAGTGCGAGATTGAGAGGTCGAGTTCAAGAATAGTTGGTGGGGATCATTTACAAGGAGCTAAGGAAAGTAATTTTAATTTAAACGTCAACTACAACGAAAGCAACAAGAATTGCACCAGAAAGAAACTAAGGCTCACCACAGAACAATCCACTTTGCTTGAAGAGAGCTTCAAATTGCACACAACGCTTGATACGGTACTTCAATTTTCTATACTACTACTATAGAATTAACTAAGTATTTTATTCGAACAAATATAAATCAGAACGGATGATTTTGTGTTTATTACCGGTTCTTCCTCTCAAGTTGAGACTGAGTATTCAGATATATGGGATAAATTAATGAGTTCCAAATATTAATGAACTATATAGAAGAGTTATCTATCAAAACAATATTCTTAAGGCTTATTTGGTAATGTATACGATTTTTGATTTTATAAAAAATGGAAAACAGTATCAAAAAACGAAAAACGTCTTTTTCTCATTTTTGAAAATTGCCCCTCGTTTACAAAACGATGACAGACAAAAATAAAATAAAAATGATTATCAAACGAGTTTTTTTTTATTTTTTCTAAATATCAAAATAAAAACGAAAAACATAAACATTACCAAACGGGACCTTACCGATCTATTTGAACATTTGATCTTGGATCTCAAAAAGTAATTAAAAAACAATTTTTTTTGTTATTCAACGGGGGTGTCCGGACCAGTTTATGCATGCTCCACTAATCATTTCTATTGTCCGATCAAAAGTAGGTCATCTATGGCGGGATTAAGATATTTATGAGGGATATCTGACTCTAAATAGTTGTCAAGATTCGAACTCAAAATAATTAAAAGCATTGCACACTGCAAAAAAACCCACTCTTACATAAACTGAAATAACTATTGCATCAAAGAAATGTAACAGGTTCATCAGATATATATGGGGGATGGTCACAATGTTTTGAATTATTACTTCAATTGCATCTTGTTTACACATGAGATTACAAACAAATAACAAAACCGAAACGAAACAAAAAATAAACACCAAATACACAAGATTCCATGGCTTGTTTTAAAAGCTCATTATCGACGAAGATTATGAACAATTCTCAAAAATTAGAACAAGAGAATGAATACTCGGGCTAACGATTGACTTGCAGGCCCAGAAACAAGCGCTTGCCGAGAAGTTAAATCTCCGACCAAGACAAGTAGAAGTATGGTTTCAAAACAGAAGAGCAAGGTATTGATCATCTTTTAATTTTCCAATGCCCCTTTCTTTTTCTGTAATGTATCATTTTGTAACATTTACAAAGTAATTTTGAAGTAAAAGTAATTTCATCAAAAATAATAAAAGCGTATTTAGTTACTCTATTGCACTAGTGATCTAAATATATCTTAGTATAAATATAGAAGTGTATTGTTATACGTGTGATCAAGTTTAGAGGAAGCGAGACAACTTAGACACGAAAAATGTAAAAACAAATGCTACTTAAATGAAGCTAATAAAAAGACTAAAATTTTTGGGTTTTGTTTTCCCCTTTAGTTTGTATCGTTTCCCTCTGATATTCACAGTAAAGAAATCTGTTAATATTTTACAGGACTAAGTTGAAGCAGAAAGAGGTAGACTGCGAGTTGTTGAAGAAAGGCTGTAAAAGTCTGAGCCTAGAAAACGTGAGGTTGAAGAAGGAATTGCAAGAGCTACTACGTTCATTGAAACTTCAACAACCACACCCATTCTATATTCAACTTCCTATGGCTACCACGCGTACGATGTGCCCCTCGTGCGAGAAATTATAAAGAAAAATACTATTTAAACTTAATTTAAAAATCTATTTTAAAAATATAAAAGTCAATTGTAAAAACTAGTGAGGTCCATGCAAAGAAAAAGCAGCAGCCATTCGTCATGTGGTCCACAAAGCTAATAATACCCAAAGCGGCTAAGTAGAGTTAGATAGAGGTACTTTCTGATGAACGATCAATTTTCTCTCTAACCAATTCATGTGGACCATGGGATTGTTCAACCTCGCCCAAATATTAGTAATATTCGATGGTTATGATTATGCCTATGGGTTCTTGCCCCCGGATTCAAACATTAAAAGTTTTATGTAATTGTATTTGGCCCCAAGACTTTTAATGTTATTTGACTAATAGTATTAATTTTCTATTTGGTCCCCTCATTTTGATTTTTGTGGTTCCCTTACCTGCTGTGCCATATTACTAATTTGTAAGGAAAAGTTGTCATGAAAAGCATTATTCCGCACGAATTAATGGCTATATTAATAGAAGAAGGGTAATTAATAAGGTTCGGTTCTTGTAAACCCAACATTGGTTGGATATTAATGCATATACAGCTTTTAGAGGTAAGGGAGGCACAAAGTCTTCCACTTCTTGTTAGTAATTAGGAGTAAATTGGTTCAGTTTATAGGGAGCATTTTTTTTTTAGATTAATATTATTTGAACCTAAAAATTTGATTTAATTTGTTAATATAATGATGTGGTTTTATAGGAATTATTGAATCAACGTCAAGTTCTAATATTTGATGGAGTCTACAGTGAATCCAAAAGTAACAGTAAATTAGGTCAGTAAATTATGTTAATAAATTAGGTCTCAATAACATTATTATTATTTTTTAATTATTCAATGATTAGGGGTTCCGTATCAGTTTACGCGCACTTTGATTAATCCTCTTCCTAGTTCAGTCAAAGACAAACCACTTATACTGGGATTAAAGTATTCACGAGAAATAAATTGCTCATGAACTAAACTCCTAGGAATTGCAAGATTCGAATTCAAGACATTTGATTTTACAGCTCGTCCCTGTTACTTGTTGATTTACCATTGGGATTATAGGGAGCATTTTTTTTACCCTAACAGTTGAAACATGTGGCTTTCGAGGTACCCCCCCCCCTCTCTCTCTCTCAATAAAATTGTGATTTTAATTTTTTTTTGGGAGAGTAGGGGATCAAAGGTTAAAAAAGTTTTAATCTCTATTTGTTTGGCCCAAAATAAATAATATTTTTCAAAAGTACATAAATCAATGCTTTTTCAGATTTTTTATTGCTCAATATAAAGTTCAAGACGTAAACCTCTCACACAAAAATTCAAGCGAAATATTAGATAAATTATTGTGATTATTGAAATTCCAACACCTTAATTTGACATGCATTAAGCAAAAATAGTAGGATTAAACTCAATAAAATAGTGACTATATATTGATCGTTATTTTGTAAAATATAATTATATTTAACATTATAAATATATACCTAATAAAGAGATGAACTATCTAACACGCGGTTATGTCATACACATGACATGCTCACTTGATAAGAGAATTATAAAATCTTATTTCTCTAACTATTTGTTCAATGTTTTTACAGATTTCTTGAAATATTTTTTCTAAAATAGAATGAAAAAAAAATAACGAAGAATTGAAGTTGAAAGTAATTATCCAACCATCAATATACAAGGACAAGCCACAAGCTCTTTTTATTTTTGGGAAAACTATAAGCCCCCACACTTATAAATAAAGACAAAGGTGATTACCTAAAAATTGAATTTTCAGATATAGAGAGGGTACTTTTATATCAAACAAATACATCAAGTAAGAACATTTTTACAGCAATTCTTGAAACCCAGTGGGAAGAGAGGGAAAAGTTTTAAAATTTTTTTGTAGTTATAAACTCTTAATTTTTTCATGTCCATAAAACCCAAACATTAAATTAGGAGAAAATTTTCAAAATTTCTTGTAGCCACAAAAAAATTTTGACCTAAAAACATTAAAACTTTAAATAAATTCATGTGGTTAGACTTAGAAGACCAAAAGTTACCGAGTCCATTATGTGGGGAAACAAAAAGTGGCAGTGTACTATTTTATTATTACGAAATGAATACATGAAATATTAAGTATATGTACATAACTAATTTAAGGAGACGAAAGAATAGGAGAAGAGAATATAATTAATTGAAGAAAATAAAAGAAATTTGTTTGAAGGGAATTATATGTTTTATGAAGGATATTATAGTCGATCAAAATTTTTTCACTTAACTTTTTTTTATTAGTATTATAGATACATATCATTTTTGTGAAATATCTCTGAATTTTTTTTTTTTATTGTAAGAACAATTCTGGTATTTTTCATTTTTTTTCTTTCTTAATATACTGTGGGTTTGTAGTCAGTCTCATCGGATCTTACTGTTATGTCTGTAATGGTTGTGGCTCGCCTAGGGATGGACTCATTTTTGGGCCTAACGGGCCATGGCCCATTTAGGTCTCAAAATATAACTCGAGTGAAAATTTAGGATTAATTATAAAATTTAAAAATTTGCAGGTCGGTCCCTCTACATAAACTTATTTAGACTTAAGTCCGTCAAGGAAACTTATTTGCTATAAAGTTTATTTTTTGTTAATTTTACCAGACTATCCCTTCTCTTTAGAAGTGAAATAAAATTAAAAACTAAAAACTCCTAAATTTTAAGAGTTTAACAAAAATTAAAATTTTTTTCTTTCATATTTATCTATACCCATATATAGGTTAGGACTATATCTCTCATATATATAGATAGTTACATTAAAAATAAAAAATAATTACATTCAAAAAAAAAAAAGAATCATTTAAACACAAAAAAAAAATTTATTGAAACACAAAAAATAATATTATTCAAATATTAAAAATAGTAATATTGTATATTAATATTGAAAAAATAACAATAATAACATACTCAATAAAAAATAATAATATTTAATATTAACATTAAAAACAAAAAATAGTTACATTCAAATACAAAAATAGTACAATTTAAACACAAAATATAGTACCATTTAAGCACAAAAATATAATAATATTCAAAAATAAAAAATAGTAACACTGTATATTAATATTTGAAAAAAAATAATAATAACATACTCAACAAAAAATAGTAATATTGAATATTGATATTTTCAGAAAAATAGTAACATTCAATATTAACGATAATATGCTTATAAAAAAAATAGTAACATGTTCAATAAAAATTATTAACATGAAAAGAGATAGTAACATACACAAGCACAACAAAACAAAAATAGTAACATGAAAAAAAAATTGTACCAGTATAATGTCGTATTCTTCACAAAAATATACAACCAACTAAATACACAAACAACCAACTAGAAACAACAACATCGAATGATCAATCTATTATACGAAGTAAAAATTGGGATGAGAGTGAGAAGCAACGAGAGGTTGAGTAGAAGAGTAGTTGAGACTATTACTGCTACTATGGGAGGAGGAGGAATTAATGCTTTGATTAGGGTTTCGTTTGGGAGAGTAACCGTTTTTGACGATAGTGGGAAAACTAAGTGCACTGATAGAGGGAGAGATGTATGGACAGAAAGAGCAGTTGGAGCTTCGGCGACAACATCTTCATTCATGGTAGGGAAGAAAATAATTCATAATTGTTGAAAAACAATTAGAATAATGTGGATCATGAATTTGAGTCTGAATAATGTGGAAGGAGTTCACTCGTTTATTGGTGGGGATGGGTTTTCGCCGAAGGAGGGTTACCGACTTCTGTGACGAGTTGATTGTTTGGGTTTTTTTTTTGTGAAAACAAAATATGAGATGTGGATAATTTTTATATTTTTGATTGACTTTTAATCAGATAACAAATTTTCATCACATTTTTGTCATTTTTAATAGTGGATAGCTAACTATTGGAGTTAATTGAAAATTATTCAAATTTTATGAGAGCAAATTGTTGAAATTAAAATTAGAGGGAGTTGATTGCAATATGACCTGTATTTTTTAATTAACCCAAAAATTAAATACGTTTGATAGTTATGATTTAGGTCCGGGAACAAAGTTGTATGTTTTTTGATTGATTCAACGGTTAGGTGTGTTCAGGTCAAATTACGTATACTTCAATTGAAATCTCCTCTAATCTAATTAAGATAGATCATCCACGTTGGAATTAAGGTTTGTTTTTTTTATTTGTATTCTAATGTTGTATGGATGAAGGTGGAGGAGCCCCCACCAATCCTCCTCTTTCAATTTATCTCAAATTAGAGCACACATAATTTCAAGATTTAATTTGATAACTTAATATATTATGATTTTTGCTTAGATTATGAGTCCCAACATAAAGTTCACTATCAATTCTCGAAATGCAATAAAATTTTGAACTAAATTCCTAAATTAAGCACAACAAACATATTGTCTCGAATTAATATGAACCCAAACCTCAATTGTTTTCTTGTTAAAGATAATGCATCAAACAATATGATATAAAGTATAAAGAGGAATACATCCAACCTTCCAAACAGTTTGTTAAAATCAGAAGGCTAGAGGATCGTCTATGACTTCAATGTGTGCAAGCTCCATGATCCTATGTCCTCAATCAGACGTTCCAAATTACAGTATGAAGACCCACCTTCACCGACACTCTCTCTTGCCAATTTTGACAAGTGTTTGGCGCTCTCCTCGAACTCACCTTTCCTCTCATCCATGAGTTCTCTCACCATCTTCTCAATGATGACTCTATCACATGTGTCTTTCATGTCCAATCCAACCTTCCAAACCTCCCCCACAAATCTACTATTCACCTGTTGGTCAACAAAGTGAGGCCAGCCAATCATTGGCACTCCCTCAGTTATACTCTCTAGAGTTGAGTTCCATCCATTGTGAGTCAAAAACCCTCCAATTGCAGGGTGACCCAAAACCTCTTCTTGTGGAGCCCACCCAACAATACACCCCCTCTCCTTTGTGCCCTCCAAGAGCTCTGCCGGAATCTGACCCTTCATAGACTCTCCGCCGGAGACGGACTCCGGTCGTCTGACCCACAGAAACCTCTTGCCACTGTTTACCAAACCATGCCAAAACTCCATGAGCTGGTCTCTGGTTATCACAGTATTACTACCAACGCTAAAATAGATCACAGACTTCTTTGGTTGTGCATCGAGCCAAGCCATGCAACTCTTGTCTTCTTCCCATAAACTGTTGGACAAGGAATGCTTTGGCTTCAGTTTTGGGCTGAGACTGAGTCTAGCCTTTAGGTGGGCGTGGATGGGACCAATGGCGTAGAGATTTGGGCAGACAGTACTTATGTGAGATAGTAGATGTCCTTCTAGCTCTTCAAATGTGTTAAGTATGAGCCCTTGGGCTTTTGGGAATTTTTGGACCTGCTTCAGAACTAGTTGGAGTTGGATAGTTGAGTCAATTAGCTCACTGGCTCGGCAGAAGCTCGGAAGATCTCGTTGCCGGAGGAAGCCTTCCATGCCCGGGACACATGTTAGCTTTGCGTCCAAATCGTCTCCTATAAGCGTAGGAAGATTAGAGCGTGAAAGTAATACATATACTACCCTAGATCGTATCCAATGTAATTGTAGATTATCTTGAGCCAATCAAACATTTGGTTGGGCTAAGTTTTTTTTTTCTTCCAAAAATAGAGACTATTTCGATAACTAATCAAAAAGAAGAATGCACCAAAATGCAAGTGTTGCGCCAAACACTTGCGGTTATTTCTTGTTGCAAGTGAATACAACAAAAGGGCCCAAAAATAATAAATAATGAAATAGTTCATATATTGAAATTTCGCGTTCATTTTCAAACTTCTGCTCTGTTATTCTCATCTAGTAACCACAGGATGACTCATAAGAAAGGTGGCAAGATTTGAAACTATGGCCGGACCACCCCGGTGGTCCTCCATGGATGCACCTTAATAAGCTGTGCCTAAAGTTGGAAAAATAAGAGCTTGTAGACCATTTGTAAGTAATCTAAAGAAAATGACAGGTAGAGGAATCATTAAAGGTACTACAGAAACGAGAACAACTGCAACTAATTCAACATATATTTTGCAAACAAAATTGTTTCAATTCAGAAAGGTAATGAAATGTTTCAACAATTTTTCTGTGACCCACAATGGGATCAATGCAAATCTAAGTACCCCACATACCTTTAAATGGAAACTGGCCTGTTTCAGTGAGTTTAGGAATACACAAATAAGTCCACAGGGCACAAGGACTTATTGTCTCGAAATATATGATTGGAATTCCAACCTCTATACCAACATCAACAGCAAAACTCAAGATTCCATCTGCTATAATGCATGTCACTGGCCGCTCAGAGTTACAACTCAAGGGGCCAGAAGCTACCATCTCTGTGACAAGTGGAAATGTTACAGCCTCCATAGAAAGGAACATCTCTATGAACCGGTCAGCGGAACGCGGGCTGTCGTCAGACAAGCCATCGGAAACAGTTTCAAAACGGAATTTAGGGTAGCCAGAGAAACGGGATTCGATGTCGGTGTATCGGGAAAGACGGTTCTGGATGTGGTTGGTGTTGAGGAAGGTGACATGGAAATCAGCAAGGCAAAGTAGCTCGGCCAGTTTGAGCATGGAGTTAACAGGGCCTTGTAGTGGCAGGGGGAACATAAGTACATGAGGGGAGAGAGTTTTCTGATGATCCATTTGATCAGTTTTGCCTACAAACAATGTTTGGTTGTATTGTATGCTTTTGGCAAGATTGATCCTTTTGTCCAGCCAAACTGAGAGTTTGATTCTCTGTTGTGGTAACTTAGTATTGTGAAAAGCTGCCTCTTTAATTTGTTTTGGAAGTAATTGCAATCAACATTGACCTGGTCATATTTTATTCATTCTACAACCTTCAATTCGCTTTCTATGTGATATTTTTTTGAGAAGATGGAATTCACTTGCCAGCAAATGATACTACAAACTCCGATTTTCTTCCTTTTTTGATTTAATGGTCAGCGGTGTTCAGTCTAATGTATATATATGCACCTCAACTATTCTTCTCCCAGGTCTAATCAGATCTAGATCAACCATGCAAGAACTAGAGTATTCGCGAAGAATAAATCACTTATAGATTCGAATAAAGGATGTTTGAATTTATAGTTGGTCTTTGTTATCACTAAAACTATCCTTTGAGGTTATAGACTTCAATTTTCAAGGATTAGGAACATGATCATGTGAGCTGTAACATAGAGATTACAAGTTTATCGGTTTTGTTTTTATCATTGTTCGAAGTAGTATATCTTTGAAGGATTAACAAATGAAAATCACACACTAGTTCGGTTCTCAAAGTTTGACCTAGAGATATGAGTTGGTTAGGATGGTTAGAATATATTTTTCTAGATCTTGATTTATGTGATTTATATTAAACTTTGTGCTTTTGATCTACTCTACACGTGCTTTTAATCACTTTGGCGTTCTCGAGGTGCTCGAGCAAAGTGCGAGCTTAGCTTCTAGGTAACTGTAGTGGTTGGCTCTTGTTTTTCGGTCGCTTGGTGCTCGAACTGTGCAAAGTGCACTCGAGCAAGTACGAGGGTGCTTGAGTGACCATGGCTTATTAGAATTCCAAAAATATTATCTACAAGTCTTTGCAAAAATTAAGGAAACTGATTAGACATTTTCGAAATACTCCAAGATGAAGACACGTGTTTTCGGTGTCACTAATCCTTATTATTGAAATCACGTACCCATCGGTTCACAAGTCCCTCTCCCCCGAGATATTTGTCATAGGGATCAAGTGGCATCCAGTACGTTTACGTACTGACACGTATCCCTCGGTCTGATATGGGTACATCGGTCGCTATATGTACCAATCCTCCCTCGGTACCAATATGTACCAAATGTCCAGGATGGCATTCTCTTCTCCTGCAGAGCTACTGATGTACAGGTCACTAGCCTAGGCTAGGTTAGGCTAGGTTAGCTATCATGACCTCGTCTTACACAATTGATGTCAGAAGGCACAGGAAGGTAGGGGCCACAGCCAATGGGGAATGGACGTGTGGCATATTGTGTCACATCAGAGACAGAAAGACCGCATGCCCTTGCTGACACACGACTTGGGAAAACAAGCATTTAATTACATTATTCCCTTGATGAGACTGCATTCAATGTGGTAAGGCTCGAAAGTGAAAGACAATAAATGTCTCTAAGGCTGGACATTTATTGCATCCTCCCCGAGAGGAGCTCATTGAACAGTCGGCATGCCGATGACACAGCCTTGGTTGCTCGGGATCTTGAGCAGTTAAAAGAAAGACATTCCTCGTAGGAATCAGTGTGCATGTTGCCTGTATCTAATGATCACCTACTGACCACACTGATAGCAATCATGAGTATTTAAGGTATAAATACTCCCCGCAACAGGCAAGACGATATGCAACAAAAACCTTTGCTACAATATATACTCAGTGTTTTCTTCTTTCTCTCGCTCAAAAACTGACTTGATCGTCGGAGGGGATACGCCAGAAAACACTCCGGCGCCCTTCTAACTTGTCTTTCTTTGTTCCAGGCACCTTCCTCAGCCTTACTGGATCGTTTCATTGATCCATGAGAGTCTCCCATTACCGTTCCAGGTTACCACCGGACCTCACAGGCTGTCCCAGGCAGCAGAGTTGACCATTCGACTGACTCACTCGAGTTCACCAAGGGAGAGATCTGTTCTCGTGTTTATATTGTGCAAGATCCAACACGCACAATCTGGCGCCGTCTGTGGGAAACGACTAGTTTTTTCTAGTTTCTTCTCTATAAAGAACAGTGACCATGGTGAATACTCGACAAAAAGGGAAAGGTCCCCAACAAAGAAGTTTCGAATTACAAGCTCCATGTCACCATGGAGGGAGGGATCACACTGATGGGAATAGAAATGTCTCTATTCAGTCAAGAGGGCCTACTCCTCAGACCAGTATGGGCATCAGGTCAGGAGGAACCGCCCCCTTGGCTCGCCAACTAGCGGAGGTGATCGAAGAAAAGTTTGGAGATCGATTACGACAGTTGGAAAAGGACAATGTGAACGTCCTAAGCCGGCTCAACAAATTCGCCGCCTCCGGCGAAGGGTCGAGGGACTCATTCCTTTCTCGTGGGCTCCCCGCCCGGGAGGCGGAAACGAAGGATCTAAGGAATCATTTAAACAACAAGGCAGAAAGCTCCAGGGCCCCAAAGCGACCAAGAGCCAACGAGCGCCCTCTTAACGACCATTCCAGGAAGGCAAGACCTTTAGCCCTGGACGACCTCCTACGAGGACTGTCAAGACGGAGGAAGGGAGATGGGTCCGAGGAGGATTCAACCCTATCCACGCGACGCCCAGGAAATGGGGGACCCATTGACGAACTCGGAGACTTTAGAAGACACCCCATTGGGGAGAAAATTGATCTCAGGGCTCGGTTGGAATCTAGGAGAAATGACAAGACTGTGCAGGATGATGCTGAAGACGAGGTCATGCAATCACCCTTTACCAGGGGTATCACAAAGATGGATGTTCCAAAAAAATTCGTCGTGCCGAGGTTCAAAATTTATGATGGACGGTCCGATCCCGAAGCTCACCTCAGGCAGTACAAGCAAATAATGTCCCTGTATCATCCAGACCAACGGTTCCTCTACCGAGTGTTTCCCATGAGCTTGAGGGACTCTGCGATGAAGTGGTTCAAGGCTCTTCCCCCGAACAGCATTGGATCATGGAAGGAGTTTACGAGACAGTTCCTAGCCCGATTCATTACGGGGAGTAAGCGGCCTAAAGACATCGGATCATTACTGACGCTCAGACGGAAGGAATCCGAGACCCTTTGCCAATACGTCATCCGGTACTGGGAAGAGGTTAATGAGGTAGAGGGCTACTCGAAAGTCATGGCAGTAGCGTCTTTCAGGCTCGGCTTGGCAAGGGACACGGACCTGTACCGATCCCTGACCAAGAAGACTCCCTCGGATATGGGCGAGCTGATGGCCCGGATAAACAAATACTCAAGGATCGAGGACGAGATGGGAAGCAGCAAAGGCCGAACCCTCCAATCTAAGAGAAAAGAGAGGGAGCGGGAGGATACTCCCCGAAAGGGACTACTACCCCCTTCGAGGGGGTCGTTCAAAGGAGTTCACACTATGTTCAAGTAACCCATCTTTAAGTTGCTCCATAAGATAAATCATGAGTCATTCTTCAAGTGGCCGCCCAGGATGCAGAGCGATCCCTCCACCCGTGATCAAAAGGTTAGGTGTTCCTATCACCGGGATTTCGGACATCGCACCGAAAGCTGTAGGGTATACAAATAGTTCTTGGAAAGATTGGTCCGAGACGGATACTTGAAAGAATACATAGAGCCTAGGACGGTAGAGAGACAAATCGCTGCCCCGACCGAGGAGCCAGACAACGTTATAGATGTCATTCATGTATGTCCGCTAGATCGCCCCACGTCCAAGGAACTCGAGTCCGATCTGAAGAGGGTAGCTTTTACAAGGAAGATAGCCGAGAATGATGGGGGGGCCACCCAGTAAAAGGGCCAGGACTGGGGAGCCCAGCATCACGTTCTCCGACGCGGACTTGACAGGTGTGGTGACTCCTCATAACGACGCCCTTGTCTTAACCCTGAAGATAGGTAAGTTCGACGTCAAGAGGGTGTTGATAGACTCCGGAAGTTCCTTAGAAGTGATGTACTTGACACTTTAAAACGGATGGGTCTTGGCCTCAAGGACCTCACCAAGGTCAGGACACCCCTCATCGGTTTCAACGGCTCGTTCGCCCTGCCCATAGGCAAAATCACATTGCCAGTTGTCACATGGTCCCTTCATCATCAACACCGAGTTTGTCGTGATTGATGCGGACTCTCCCTACGATGTGATCATGGGACGAGCATGGCTGCATGCGCTGGGAATGGTGCACTCCACTTATCACCAGAAACTAAAATTCGCCAATCTAGAGGGGATCATGGAGATTCGAGGGGACCAAGAGTCAGCAAAAAATTATTTTTATTCAGCTGTTAGAGCCGGAGCTTTCACCCAAGAAAAGGGGCGAGCTCCGGAAGAGATCATGGAAAAATAGAAATTACAGTCCGGGCGTCCAGGAATGGATGACCCCCAGATTGACCCAACGAAATGGTCAGTGGAGGACCTCCGGAAGGTGCCCTTGGTGGAGGAAGAAGTAGAAAGATACTTCTAGTTGGAACCGCGATGCTCGTAGCCGAACATGAGGAGATGATTGAGTTCCTAAGGAGACATGCAAACGTGTTCGCTTGGGACGCAATGGAAATGACGGGAGTAGACCCCGAGATAATCACACACAAGTTGCATGTTGACCCAAGCGCACAAGCCAGTAAAACAAAAGTCACGACGCATGGCCCCGCATCACGCCTGCGCGGTCAATGAAGAAATCGACAAACTCCTGAAGGCCAACACCATTCGGGAGATACAATTCCCAGAATGGCTGTCTAATACGGTTTGCGCGAAAAAGAAGGGGGAAAAATGGCGTGTCTGCGTAGACTTCACAAATCTAAATAAGGCATGTCCCAAGGACGACTACCCTCTACCAAAGGTGGACCAGCTAGTGGATGCCACTGCCGGATATCACCAGATCCCTCTCCATCCCCCAGATTAGGAAAAAATGGCGTTTATCACTCCAAAGGGAGTTTACTGTTACAAAGTGATGCCGTTTGGACTAAAGAACGCGGGGGCAACATACCAAA